GGAAAGGGGGACGTTGGGAGTGATGGCTTTGGTCTTCCCAAGTCGCCGTTACGCATGATGGAACCCTGCTCTCCTGGAGATGGCTGAACTCCTGCCTGCCGATGGGAAGTAGGGAAGGAATTCCTTGTTTTGTTTTGCTTGTGTGCGTGGCTTTTGCTTTACCTATTAAACTGTCTTTATCTCAGCCCACGAGTTTTCTCACTTTTACTCTTCCAATTCTCCCCCCCATCCCTCGGGAGGGAGTGAGCGAGCGGCTGGGTGGGGCTGAGTTGCCAACTGGGGTTAAACCATGACAGATGTTTAACAAAAAACAGATATTTTGGGAAGAGATTCTTTTCATTTTGGCAGAATACAGTGTTGGGAACACCTGTGAAATAAGAAAAGGATGAAGAGATGTAGCAACCACACACCCTAAGAACAGCCTTGGTTTGATATTCAGCAAGTTCTTTCATTCAAGCATTTATTTTGCTACTTATGTTACCTAGAAAAATGGGAGCTGGCCAAAACCAAACGCCCTGGCCCTGAACTTAAAAGTACTATTTCAAACTAGTCAAACAGAACCAGTGGGGAAAGGAAGACTAAGAACAAACCTACACGATAAGGCTTTGCTCCCAGAAACAGAAGCTCCTACCACCATCCACTTCCCTTCCAAACAGATAGGCTCTATAGAAGAACTCACAAGAGCTCAAAAATCTCACTCGTATTTAATGAGGGTAAGTAAGTACCGATGCACGTTGTGGAAAGTTACTCTAGACTAAACAAAAAGTGAATTCAATGTAGACTAATGAAACTGTATTTCAACCCTCTATAGCTGGGCTAATTCAGAATTAAAGTAGCTGTAGTCAGCTCTAACATAACTCAATTTTGAAGGAAATTGAGTAAAATGGAGGCCATGCTGAATAGCTACGGTACACAAAGGTAAGGACAGGCAGGCTGGTACCAAATCAGATCAAGCTTCCCAATTCTTCCATGCAAAGAGTTACTAAACGAATTTGGATTCCTTTGCATTACTTAACTTGATCCATCAAGCGGAGTCCTTACATCATGCACTGAAGGGCATTAGATTAGTCCTTAGATTGTGCATTGAAGGCATTAGATACCGAGCGTTGTGCAGTACGTGTTAGGAGGAGCAGTGCCCCCAGACGTTCGCGTCTCCCTAAAAGGATGCCCGTCTAGGGCTGGCCGAGTACATTCACCCGAGCTGCAGCAATGACGGCTGATCAAGGGAGACTTTGCCCTTGCCAAAAGGAGTGATGAGGGCCAACAAACCATACGAGAGAAAAGGCTGAAACTCTTCCGAGGACTGACTGCCAGATCCTGACACATAAGACGACACTGCACATTGCTGGTCACACCTGAGCTAGGACTTTAATCAAAAAAGCACAAAATAGGTGATTAATTTTGCGCATATAAGCTACACGATTAGACTCGGCGCCCTGTGGACTCCTGCTGCATTGGCATTGAAGCTGTAATCCAGTAATTACATCTGGCTGGCCAGACACTTCCTCCACAAAGTGGGTATTTATAAGACTGTTAAAATTGTCAAGGACTTTCAGCCTCAGATTCTGACTTCAGCCTTCCCAACGTAAATTTCCACTTACAAAACTGCCTTAATTTCAATTTATGTTGTTCATTTTGGTTTCAAACCACCTACTTGCCACATAAATAGCCCTTACTAGCCTAGACTGACTGGTCCTGACTTCTACTGGTTAAAAACTGATTAAGGCAGGGGTCTGGAAAGAGTCTTCTATTGAGGCTTAGAATCTCAGTCACTTAAGGATTTTTACACGGTGAATTTTTCTTGGGGGGCTGTGTGCCTCGATTCATTCTGTAGTTCCCAGGGGAGCAAAATGAATATGTGTAGCACGGTGAGGAACAGCCTTTTACAAAGGAATCACCAGCTCACTAAACTAAACCCCAGCTTCGCTTCACTCTGAGGTTTGCCGAACTTCACGGTGAAGTCCTGGACTTGAGCAGCAAGATCACCTCACTTCCTCGTCTTCAGCCGAACAGGACCCAAAAAATACACCAACACCAACTACAGCAGGGACTCACTACTTGTAAAGTCCAGCTTTGAGTGGCATCAAATTACATTTTGATAAAATACACTAGGGACGTGGCTCAAGCCTCTGTTATACCATGGACAGCTGGCACCTTATTAATCTTTGATTTCACAGCAGTCTCCTCGTGCTGGCACCTTTGCTTCCTCACATCTCAGCCTTTTGAGAGTTAATGATTGGCAAAACCAGCACTGCCAAATCTGAAGGGTTTCATTTCCAATTTAAACCAAAATCAACCTCTTTACAATGTTTCCTGTCTATATTGATCTTTCTGCCCACGACTTCAGATCATCGGTCCCCCCAGGGTAGACATTTGGAGTAGACAGCTACCAAAGCTGAGTAAAAAATAATTCAAGGGTACACGGCAAAAGACGCCTTCACAAACCCCTCCCTCTTCTCTGAAGAGTTCAAGGAAACCCTCACTATCACTAACCCTTCCCTTCTTGCAGGTCTCATTCTTCAAGGCAGGTTAAAAGCACGGTCAGGAATGATCTAACGGCTCCTTAGAGCTATCGGGGACTGATTCAAACATGACTCACATCTCATCCATGTCAAGTGGGCAACTTCTGTAAGGAAGTAAGGACACTGTAACATGCATTGGAATAGCACCAGCACCTTAAGACAGCAAACACTGCAATGGCATAGCGGCTTAATACTCACACTCAGCAGGAGGCACTTGTTTTCTTTGATGGCACCTATGCAGCCCACGAAGCCAATGATCATGACAAATGTCCCTGTGACGATCAGTAGGTTGGCAGCCGACAGGGACGGGAAAGAAGAGGAGAGGGTGGCAAAGTTCCCTTGGGTAACAGCCAGCCAGATGCCTACTCCAAGGATTCCACAGCCTCCCAACTGGGAAAATAGAGAGAAACAAAGAAACTCGGTTATCGTATCCAAGCAACACCAGATATTAATCCATATCAATACGGCAGCGGTAGATGGCTCTGCTGGGGTAAACCCTGCAGTCACACCTAATAAGAAATGATCTCTCCCTATGGCACTTTCAGTAGGGAAAACAGACAAAGGAGAAAGAAAAAGAATTCATAGAGGGGAAACTCATCACTAAGATGTAACACTCAAGAAAAAGACCCAGATTTCCTAAATCCAAGACACAACTTCAAATATCAGGTCTCTTCCTCTCTAGTGAAAAAGCAGACACTGAGTAAAGAGAAATTTCTGAAGATTCAGATCTCAAAGGGATTGAAAAAATCCATATCCTATTTAAGTACCTCAGAGGGCTGCCCAGAATGGCTGAAGCACTTTCGATCCCCTCTTCTTCCCATCCCAATACACCGACTCCCATCCCTGGCACACGCCATAAACAAATCTTGCCAAAGCATCCCCTGGTAGGACACCTCACACCTCTTCTTAGTTAGTTCCTGTCCAAGGTCTAGCCTCCCTTGGAAGCACGAGAGCCTTTAGAGTGTAAAGGGGCCAGAGAAGGAGGGAGAATCCTCCCGTAGCATTAAAAAAACCAAACAGATGTTTACTCCTAATGTGGCCACTGGTTTGGTAATTCAATCCTCAGAAGAGGACTTGGCTGGTTTAGGAAAAGTTTGAGAGGGGAGCAGTAGTACGGGCTCCCCAGGCATGTGAGCAAGGAGAAGGGAGGATGCCAGTGCAGGCAGCAGCCACCACAGAACCGTAACATTTACAATTATTATACACACAAGGAACTTTTAAAAAACGCAAACATTTGTAAGCATGCTGCTTATAATTGTGAGAAAGCCTGCAGAATTGTAACAATCTTGAGTAAAGCTGAGCAATTAAATAGAATTAAACCAAAGGGGATTTTGCATTATTATACACAGCAGAGCATCACTTAGGTTTCTTTCTTTCCTGCTCTCCCTTTAAAATAACCAATTTTTATTGAGTTTTATAATTGCCCTTTATTATCCAAATCAATTAAAGGCTAGGAAAGAAATTGCGCTCATAGAGTAGTAAGCCAGACATAGGAGCATATCAATTAAATGTCTGCATAAAGTGGATGAACATAAGGCAGCTCATGAACCAGGGAAGGAAAAAGGCAGAGCTAATCCTGGGGCAGAGCTAAGCCTCAGAAACGAAACACAGAAGAGAAATACAGCAGCCAAAGCAATTTCTTAGTACTAATTGCTAGGGTTGCCTCTGCACGCCACTGAATTCCCCCTCAACAAGGGACAATAACGACGGCCGTGTCTCAAGGCAGGACTCCTCACCCCAGCTGCAAACCAGTCTATTTTGTTCAGAACTAAGGAGCCAAACTATACCTGATTGTAATGTACCTCAGCCGCATCAACCTGCGTGTCTCCATGGAGAGCAGGCAGACTCCAGGACACGGGGACTCAAATAATGTCATTCAGCAGCCTTTTCATATCCAGACATCCTATATCGCCATATTCACCCTTTCGCAAAGTACCCTCGACAAGCACCGCGGAGGGACGGTCCATGCCCTGACCATATACACTAGAAATACCTCCCCTCTACGCCCACTTACGGACCACGATCTTGAACATGGTCTAAAATGGTTGGAGAATAACCAGAGGAGAGGAGCGGGAAGAATACTTAAAAAAGGTAACCCATAGAAAATCATGTAGGGTAACTGAGATAATATAAACACAAGCTATCAACATGGCCCAAGGAAAAAAATGGAAAAAAAATTAGGAATAAATTCCCTAAAATGGGAATAAAACTCTGAAGGTCTACTGGACTCCAGGACAGCATTGCGGGAGAGGTGGCAGACACCCAAGTTAAAACCGAACTGGTCAGAGCTCTGAAATACAGTCAGGAATAGCACTGGAGCGGGATGGAAAGCACAACTGCGCATCTGCCTCTGCAGCCCGGTGGACGTTCTGCCTCAAAATCAGCCTCGGCGCCGCAGGCACAGTGGCCCAATTAAGCCTAACGAAGGCAGACGCCCAGCAGCGGCAGAGGCGTCACCTTGCAATACGTTTAGCTATTATCTTCAGTTCTTCGTTCCGAAGCAATTCAAAGGCACCAGTGAGAGGCAGCTTATTTCATCACTTTTTGCGCTCCCCACGTTGCTCCGCTGCTTTGAGTGACGCTGACACCTCCAACGACCATTTGTATTACGGGAGGTGGGTCTCGCTGAGGACGCTGCTGTGTTCGGTAGAGGCAAGACCTGCTTACCTGCTCCTCCATCGCCCATTAAATTCTTTACGGTGTACAATGCGTAATGCTTAAGACATCGTTGCCCTTACGGCATTTGACTCCAGCATCTTCTCCCTCCAAAGTCATTCTTGTCTGAGGAAACTGGGAATTCCCCAGTGGCACAAAACATCACAAAACCAGAAGATGGTTCATGCAAAATGCCGTGGCTGTGGATGTACCATTTAGATCAGGGCCGAGTATTTCAGGTCAGTTGGTCAGCAGGAGCATCTCACTACATTGCCCTTGATTCAGAGATACACTAATAGGCTCTCTAGCAGCTCATTATCTTCCTATTTTTGAAGAGATAATTAACAGCTCTTCCTTAGGTTGATTAACCAAACCCTGAAATGCATAAAGGGATCCTCTGAGCATCTGGTTCAAACTGGATTTCACGAAGTGCTGCTTAGGACATGGCAGGGCTGCGCCACTGTGGTTCGGCATGTCCCTTTTCCCACACTAGAACGTCCCCTTACGGTCCTTGAACAAAGCTGCTAAGCTGTCACACCAGGCCCTGGGAAACAGAGACTGCCCTTAACTCTAGCCTAAACTGCTCTTTAAAGCCCCCTTTCCTCCAAGGAGGGCAGCCCACCTCTAAGCCTCCGCCCAATGACCACAGCAACACTCAGGCACCTGGTTAAGGAAATGCTTAAGGGAATGAAGACCCGCCAAGACAGCCATAGGAGCCTTCCCAACGATAGCAGAATCTCTTCTGTTCCCAAACATTCAAAAAGCTCGCTCTCCCCCCCATTCTGAACTTAACAGCAGCGTCATTCCAGTCTAAGATCCAGGGATCAGAGGGACCACATTTATTTATTCTGGGTCAGAGCAAAGAGAAGACTGTTGTAGTTGGTTCTATGCTGCCTATCTGTTTTGATTTCTTCATCAAGGAGCTGTTAAGTTACGGATAATTTTACTTAGTTATTTATGATGTTCCCTTTCCTCCACTTTTTCTCTCCATACCCCATCCCCAACCCCCAGTCCTTGTTTGTGCCAAACAGTCGGAAGCAGAGGGATGAGATGATAACCCCTGACAGCTTTCAGGGCTTGCTAAGAAATTAAACAAAACCAAAGCCATTAACAGGGCTACTCCTGAGAATTTGGGGGCTTCCATGCAAACAGTGATGCTGTCATGGTTAAAAGAGAAAGCATTAAAACAAGATTAGCGAGAACTCTACAGCTTGAACCTGATCTATTGGCAGCCAAATACGAGTCTGTATTGACTCCATGTGGTGAGTGCAGGGCTGACTTTTTAAAAAACAAAACAAAACAAAAACAAAAACAAACAAACCCCAAACAAATGCCCCTCAAAGATGTCAGGCTACTGAAAACAGCATTTTTTAAATTCCCTTGTGAAATTTTTAACACAGCCTAATTGTTCATGATAATCCACTCTCTTGCAAGTAAGGCAGCTCATGGTAAAATCTGAAACAAAATGCAGCTTCCTCTAACATTTTTTTTCCCCAATAAATGTTGCATTTTTTTGCAAAATCTTTTATTCTAAGGCCAAAACAGTGGGACACCAGAAGGGATAGTGTCATAGCCCTAAGACTTAGGAGATTTGAGTTAAGCGTCTGCTCCAGGACAGACCTCAGTGTAAATCTCAAACAGGCTGTTTAGTAAGTCTGTGCCTGAGTTGCAAAATCGTGAGTACAAAGACACAAGTAGTGGGTTCTTTCCAAGCCCTGGATTTTGCAATTGGCGGTGGAAGGAGCGGTTTATTCTGCTCAAGACAAGTTGCTCATAGGCATTTATACAGCAGAGTCAAGCAGTAAAGCGGGTGGCTTGCTCTAAAAGCATAGGTTCAGTCTGTCTCTCCTTCCCCAAGAGATACACGGACACGTGTGCACTTATTCTCTTGGCAAAAAAGCTGCCTATGAATTAGATCCTCCCAAATTGTTTTAATGGGCTAGAAAATAAATTATTCAGACGTCAGTGCATACATTTAGAATGGATCTTACAGTATGGTAAACAAAGTAATCCCAAACAGCCCTGGATATATGCATGTTGTTGGAGACAATTACTCTGAAGTTTCAGCTACACACTTAAAATACTGCAGGAGAAATTGCCTCATTGTTCATGATAATGGTGTTGGTGTCTTTAAGTGGGTTTTTTATTAGTTCTATTACATGGAAAATGCATCTAATTGAGGCTTCTCATATTGTATCTGATTAGGATCTACCCATCATACTACTTCTTTTAGCAAAAAAAAAATTCCTTGTCTATTAAAAAATACACTGATAACAGAATCCAAGTGGAAGGTCTGACCAGTTGTTTTGTAGTTAAACTAACTCACTTGGAGGGTTTTCCCCCCCCAGTCTCCACATATTTAAACTAGAAGGGCTTTCTCAATCCCACTTGCTATCCAGTTACTCTTGTGTGAATATGCTTCCCCCTCTAACTATAGAGTAAGAGTATGCAAAGGAAAAATCAACATCGAAGTATTAATAGTAGTGTTGTGAACATTATCCAGCAAATGTTCTTGTAATGTAAGGCATACTTAAATTACCGTTTCTTTCAGCTAGACACATAGAGAGGTGGAAATGGAATACTTATATACGCTGACAGGATCAAATGAATCAAGAACGGAAAAAGCAGAAGCGCGTGTGCGAATGCAGAGACCGCGGGGCTCTCTACAAGCACGTGCAAACAACCTGCCGGTGCAGCTGCTGCCTGATGGGAGGAAGAAGTGGCCACTTCTGGCAAACACCTTCAAGCCAGCAGTTCATGGCCATTAGGCTACTGAAGACCTCGGAGACATCCATCTGCACCACACCACCACTGCCGACCGCCAGTACGCGGGATGGCTGACTTTGCAGGTGGTGTCCCACCGCGCGGATGGACGCTTTAGCAGAGCTCGTGGGACGTACTCTAGTAGCATCACCTCCGTGTAGCACAAGCTGCATTTCTTTCGCTAGTCAGAGGTCTGAAATTTAACAAGTATGGGATGGTATACGGAAATGTAACAAATAAAGGCTGGTATAAAATTGAATCGCTTTGTGCCTCTGATTTTAGAAAGTTAAATGGAGTAGTAAATGGGGAACTGAAGCATTTCTACCCTTAGCGGATTGAGGCTCTAGAGCTCTGCGGTGCAGAACTGAAGGATAGGCGCAAACCTCATCCAAAACGGCCATGATCTGAGCTGTGTCCTTTTAGCAACAATTTAAAAAGAATTAGGAAAAAATACTTGAAAAAAGATCAGCTAGTAGGGACCACATTCCTGGGAGTGAAGAGACTGGAACAGAAGCAGTCCATAAATGCCAGCGTGGGATGAGAAAGGTGAATAGAGGATCATTATTCATTTTTCTTGAGATAAAAAAAGCTAGAGGTTATTTGGTCTGCAGGTTGAAAACCAATAAAAGCAAATACTTTTTCACAAAACATTTAATTAAATTCTGGAATTCATTGCCACAGAGTTTTGTGGATGTCAAAATATAAGCAGGTTCAAAAAGGGATTACACAAATCAAAGGAGGGCAAGATATCCTAGCATTTATTAAAAATGATATTTTACATGCAGCCCTTGCAGGGGAAGACCTTAAACCATTAATTGGAGTAGCTGGTAAAATCGTCCTGTGTTCTCTCTCCTTTTTTGTTATATTCTCTCTAAGCATCTCTGAGTGACCATGACCAAAAATAGGGCACTTGGCTAGACGAAACCTTCTCAATGTTATGAGCATTTGTATGTTCTCCTCACTTCACCCTCTTCCCCTCCCTAGTTTTAATGCTCACTTACAGTTTGAATTTGATTTTTTTTTTTTCCCCCTTGCTTGTTTTGCTTGGCATCTGCCTATTGTCAAAGACAGGGTTATAGATACAGACACCAATCGAAGAGTTAAGTCCCTGTTTCTCCTTACCTACGTATAATACTCTTGGTTTTGTATCAATGAAAGCATAGCTTATTTCAAACCAAAATTTAGAAATCTGTTCACTCATCAAATTCATCAAATTTAGAAACAAATTCAAAATCTCTTTCTCTCCCACAGATCCACTGGACCTATAAAACCTGTATTTCTTTTCCAATGGGCATATGGATCCTATCCAGACTCTTCTCTCTCAGCCTTAGCAAATCTGGAGTAAGCCCTGCTAACCTCTACACACCCAGTCCACTAGATTTTTTGCAGTTTAACATAGAATAGTTGCAGGGAAATCCTAGAACTTATGCCCACACGTAACAGACATGTAACACGTAACAGTGTTGGTGCAACGAATAGCTAAACTAGAAAACCACAGTGCTTCTGCTACGGTACATTTAAAAAAAAAAAAAAAAAAGGATTAAATTATCTAACTGCACTTCTGAAGTAGAATAAGGATACCTCCACTTCAGCTCTTTGCACACATGCACTTCCTTCTCCTCGGCAGTGCTGTCTTCTGCTCCTGCAGCCATGGCCCAGGTTTTCAGTATTGCTTATGGAATTTGGGCAGCCACCAGCAAATTCTCAGCTGTCATCACTCCAGAGCACTTGACCTCTCTCATAATTTGCATCAAAAAAATCAACGAGAACTGGCCTTACGGATCCTCTAGATCATTGTAAAAAGACTCCCTGATTTCCCACTCTAGGGACTAAGCACCTTTTACAGCTTGGCTGAATGCAAGCACGTCCTTTCCACCCCATACCCCCCCCCCCCACTCCCATCACGCT